AAATCGTTTAACATGAAACTGAGGAGTGAAATATTTTTCGTGTTAAAGGACATTGTAAAATAAAATTTAAAAAAAAAACTATGTTCAACACAATTTTTTAGATTACATTTATTTACATAGATGTGTATATATACATGTCTTTTGATTTTAAAAAAAACAATGAAACAAAAACATTAGGAAGAACTTAATGAAATTTCTACAAAGTTCTTAATTTTTTTAGAAAAACAAATCATTTATTGAGTTTTTGGAAAATAAGCTGATATTTTTCTTTGTATTGTCTTTTTTTTAACATCAAGTTGTCAACAAATCGTTCAATGTCATCCATTTTGTTATTCATTTCACCATTAAATAATTGTAATATTCATTTCATTTTCGTCATCAGAATCTGCATCGACGTTTTTTTTCCAATTCTTACAATTAGTTCACAATCTCCATATACATTTATATTTCAAAAATTTTCAATCGTTAATAAAATACTTTCTATTCATCAATTCAAGTTCAAATACATTTTTTAAGCTTGCATTGAATGACACTTGATGTTAATACAGTTTTTTCAAACATTAATTCATTAGTTAAACGTAATTAATTAATAAATAGTAACAGACAAAAATAATTGTCCAACACATTTTATAAAAAGGAAAATCGTTCGTCTTATCCAGGTAGCGCAATGGATAGCGCATTGAACTTCTAATAAGAAGGTCGGTGGTTTGAATACTTCCTTGGATGGCTTAATTTCTGAGAATGTGTTTTATGAATGAATAAATAGTAACAAACAAAAATAATATTCCCACAGCATATATAGAAAGGAAAATTGCAATTAAAATCGCTTTCTATTTTGACACTTAATATTGTGATTCTGTCATATGTATATATATATATATATTAATTGTAATAATTTAATAAAAAGAAACTAAAATATATAAAAATTTTCTCTGTTGACCTAAGTAGGAATTAACTTTAATAAAAGAATTTTATATTACATTTTTTTAAGCTTTGAACAAACTCCAAAATATTTTTTTCTACCATAATTGGGGCTGTATACACATTATCATCATCTACTGCATCGAATTCTTCCGATGATACAGTAGGACAGTCCAGTAATATAGAAACTTTCTGAAACTTCAACTGGTGTTTTACGTATTTTGTTCATTCCCAGAAGGAAAATCTTTTCGACTTAAGCGATTTTCATTTCGTGTTATAGGAAAAACATGTATGAAAATAAATAATATTTTGTCGGATCCGTTGTATTATTTCATGTTCACCGATATTTTGTTTTAAGCGCTTTCCCGCGCGCGCGTTGAACGTATTTCTTTGTATTTTATTCAGTTTAACGGAATTTGAACAGAAGATAATAGCATATTTTGCCCAGAAAAAAGTAGAAAGAATTCAAATAGAAATATTTACTAAATTAAGATTTATTAACTTCTATTGCGTCTAGTGAAGTCAAAATATAATAGCTGATATTTCATTATTTTCTATCTGATTAAAAAATCTAGAGTTTGAATTTTTTGCATTTTAGCACTAGAAGATGATAACTTTTAGACATTGCAGAGATAATATCCCTAAGAGCAAGATTTTTTTTTTTTTTCATCTTTTTATTTCATCTGGTATATTATTACTTAGTTTTCGGTTAAGTAGTCAAGATAGTAGAAAGAATTTCTAAATTTTCTGGTTTTTTTTTACAAATTCATATATAAGAGAGAAATGCGACTCACACTCATCACGACAACACCTAAAAAATTAGACGTGCGCAGTTTAAATTTGGAAGACATGTTTCTTTTGTTGGGTAGAAATCCACTGAGGATGGGTTTTCAGGAAATAGACTCTCGAAGGGAAAGAGCTGTGGGGGCGTTATAAATTTAAAAAAATACGTTTTTCAACTATTAGACATACAGATTTGAAATTTCACAGGTGCGTAGAGATCAAAAAGGTAAGATCAGGCGGGTTTTGAGTAAACATTTTAAAAAGGATCACGGGGATGAAAAAATTTTCCATTTTAGAAATATAAGTTCTGTTTTTCTTAAATCAAAGGTTTGGGGCTAAAGAATATTTTTTTAAATTTCAAAACTCAGTGCTAGAACTTGATAACAAATTAAATTCACAACATCATGAAATGCTCAGTGAAGCTAGTGGGTATAACTTCGGGTTTAAAAACAAATTAATTTATATTCTTTTTTTATCCACTTTAGTCGGATTTTAAAAAGGGGTAAATGGATAATATTTAGTTTTTTCATTTGATTTGAATACATTTTAAAATTGTTTTAAGGACAATGACTTTATTTTAAAACAAATTTTAAAAATTTAACTTAGTCCTTTTTCCCAAAAATTTTCTTTTTTCTTCTATTGATTAATATTTTGTGTATATGCTCGACTTCTGTACAGAGGCTCAACTATGATTTTTTTAAAATTCAATTTTTTTCGAGTTACAACCATTTGAAATAATTATCGGGGTTTTTCCCCCAAATTTCTCCTTTTGTTTTCTAAAACATGGATAAACCGACTTCCAAATTATGCTTTCAAAAATTTAGTTACCCCTGAAAAGGTCAGTATATACAGGCAAAATATTAATACAATAGAAGCATTTTTTACAAAAGGAGAACATTTGGAAAAAAAAGGTTATTCTAAGTTAATTTTTTGCCAAAATATTGTAATTAAATAATTTTTTTCGTCATAATGTCCTTAAAACAATTTTATACATGTATTCTAATCTAAGTGACACTAAATATCAAAAATATTATCCATTTACACGCTTTTGCAAAATCACGGTTCCGAACGTACTCGGATACCTTAATAACAAACAATCGTAAATTACTAAATTTTTACAGCAACGCGTTAGAAATTTCAGCAATTTTGGTTACATTTTATAGCAAATACTTAAAATTTTCTCAATGCATTTTGCACACGTGTCTGCTCTCGAAATAGCTACTATCCTGATAATATATATATAAATCACAACAAACAAAAAGCATGCAAAAAAGAAACATTAATACACGATTTTCATGTAACAAAAACAACCGCTGTATGAATTCACCGTTGATGCTTCACTCCACATAACAGAAACATGTCATACTGATGCGTGATTCATTGGAGAAGTCAGCTGAGGAAAATTCTACAGCTTACACGCAAAGAGCCGCACTAAAAATCCCTCATACCTCTGAATGCTGTGTTGTAGATTCAGCTTGAGAACATATCCGTGACCTACTATATGCAATTTTTTCCCTTTTACGTTTATGAAAACACTATTTCGAGATGATTTGGGTTTGTGGATCAAACTCTGTTGGAAATCTGTTTTCGAATCTCCGGAAACAAAATGTGACAGCTTTTGTACCCGCATGGTACCTGGATTTGAATTCTACATAGCAGAATAAGGTAATTGACTTGTGCTTCGGGTATTTTATTTAACTTTATGACCATTGCTGCTTAATTTATAAAAGATTAATAGCACAAATAGAAGAGGTAATTCTGCCTTGTTCATGTCGAATCAAATGCATTAAGTACCATCTTTTGGTACATTTTGTTCATTTAATTTAATATGTTAAGGTGATTGACTAGATCCGGACAAATGAATATATTTTTATATTTAGTGTCATTTGAATTAGAATATACGTATAAAACTGTTTAGGGAATCTTATTATATTAAAAATTATTTAAGTGCAATTATATATATATATATATTTAGCAAAATATAAAATGAAGAAAAAAAATGACATATTTTCAGAAGTTCTCTTTTTATAAAAAAAATTAATAAAAGTAATTAAAAAATAAAAGTTAAATAATGTGTGTGTGTTATTAATGTAAATAAAAATAAAATATTAAAAATAAAATTGATTGATGTTAACTTTAATAAAAGTTAACATTAATCAATTAGTCAAAAATTTAATGGTAAAATTATACTTTCATAATTCTTTCCCAAAAAGTTTAAATATTTGCATAAACGATTCAAATAATTTTAAAAATTATCTGATTTTGCTTTACTCTTATTATGTTTCAAAAATTATAAAAAATTATATTTAAAGATCCAATTATTTTTCCATTGTAGAATTTTTTAATTTTATGTATTATTATCTTTATTCAATAATTTAAAACCTTTTGTAGCTATTAGTTTTAAAATATCGTTAATTATTTTCTTACCATTAAAGGAAATTTAATATTTCTCAATTTTTTACTAATCTCGCATAAAACATTTCTGAGGATGTAAACCTAGTTTAGTGATTAATTACTTACATTAAAATATCGCTGAATGACTATATTGTCTCTTCATTTTAAGTTTAAAATGTTTTGAATGTTTACATGATTAATAATTAATATCAATTTTAATAAACCTTACCTAAATTGCCTATTTAAATGAAATTCAATATAAATTTTCCGATTTTATTTACTTAAAAAAATATTACTCATTCGTTAAAAATTTCTTGGAATTTTGAAATTAATTTTATGTTTAACCAATAGTTATTGAAATAACATTGAATTACTACATCTCTTTGAAAACAAAACTCTCAAATGATTGCGTAAATAAAATGAAAAGAGACAGCTGCTTGTAATCTTTGATGTTTGACAGAAATGGATATGTTGTAATATTTCAGTCCTAATCAACTTATTAAAGGCTATTATTTACCTCTGAATGACATTTTATACCTATAAAGACAAACCATTTAAGACAGACCGACGCCACATTTTCAATTTGCATTTCATGGTAACTTTATAGTTATTACAAGAACACAGCTTTTCTCCTTTTGATAGTTAAAAATGGAAAACTTTCACTTTTATTTTCTTTTTACGTCTAACTTATTATAGTGCAAAGTGGTAAAGATATCGTCATATCAAAGAATTAAAAAACTTAAAAATAAAATAAAGGTCTTGGATGATTTTCAAACAGCTACAAAAAATTGATCTTTAGGTCAGTATGATGCAGACATGAGTACCTTAGTAAGATGTGTGTTGACCGTGGACACTAATGCACATCTTGCATCTGTTCTCCATGTTTTTCACTAAACTATCGAAATGACCTTGGAGGATATTTTCCCACTAATGTCTCATGGTGGTTTTGAGCACTTGCGTTGAACGGGGAGGGGTGATTCTATGTGCAACACGTCTACCAAGAGAATTCTAGGCATGTTCAATAGAATTTAGGTCGGAAGAGTAAGCAGGCCATTGCATACGGAGAATATTTTCACTTTGCATTGTGTCCGATACCTCAACGCTTCTATGTGGCCGCGCATTATCGTCCATAAACATAAAGTCTGAATCTACACAGCACCGCTAAAAATACTAGCATCATCCAGAATAATCTATCTGCAATACTGTTGTGATGTAACGCTTCTTCGCTCAAAGATGTGAAGCAGTGTTTTGCTATTGCGCATGCTACCTGCCCACACCATCACGCCAGGGCTGTATCGATCCCATTCACAAACAAACTTTTGTGTATAACGTGTTCCACGCTCTCTCCAGAGTAATTGGTGGCCAGAATCACTTGCCACACTGAAACGGTATTCGGCGGAGAAAATCCTCTAGATCAGCGATACTCAACCTGCGGCCCACGAAGCCTTTTTAAGTGGCCCGGTCATGTCCCACTGCTCTGAAAATTTACTTATTTAAGAACATTGTATTAAAAATTTGGGAGGAAATTCTTTGTCAAGAAATCAGATATATCAATTTTGCTTTTTGTCCCCCTCAGGGGTTCACCTTCTTTAGGTGAGTACGGGTGCCCTAGTGATCTTTTCCTTTTC